ATCCCCCAGAATGAGCTGGAACATGTTGCCGGTGAGAGGGAGGTCTGGGTCAGCCTGCTTGGCCTGCTGCCACCGCGACCCGACCCCGGATAAGCGGAGGAAAATGGATGGATGGATGGATGGATGAAACTATATAATTATATACAAGATTGGGAGAATTTCCACTGCCTCTCAAAGTCTCTCAACATGGCGACAGGTAAATGCATTGAAGAAATCAACAACTGGATGTACCAGAATTTTCTTCAACTAAACAAAGATAAAACAGAAGTAATTGTTTTTGGTACCAAGGACAAACGATTGAAACCACTCAGCTTCAATCACTGATGTTAAAAACCACAAACCAAGCCAGAAATCTAGGTGTAGTTATGGATTCAGACCTCAACCTGAACAGCCTCATCAAGACTATTACAAAATCAGCCTCCTATCACCTGAAGAATATATCAAGGATTAGAGGAAAAACTTGTCCACGCATTTATCTTCAGCAGACTGGACTACTGTAACGGTGTGATTACAGGTCTCTGTAAAAAGTCAGTCAGAAAGCTGCAGCTGATTCAGAACGCTGCAGCTCGAGTCCTCACTCAGACCAGGAGGGTGGATCACATCCCTCCAGTTCTGAGGTCTTTGCACTGGCTTCCTGTCAAACAAAGACTTGACTTTAAAATCCTGCTGTTGGTTTATAAAGCACTGAATGGTTTAGGGCCAAAACACATCTCTGATCTGCTGCTACCTTATGAACCATCCCGACCCCTTAGGTCGTCTGGGACCGGTCTACTTTCTGTTCCCAGAGTCAGAACTAAACATGGAGAAGCAGCGTTCAGTTTTTCTGCTCCACATATCTGGAACAAAGTCCCAGAAAGCTGCAGGTCTGCTGAGACCCTCAGCTCCTTTAAATCAAGATTGAAGACTTTTCTTTTTGCTGCTGCCTTTAATTGAACCAGATTCAATCAATTATTAATCAATTTCCTGCATTTCTGCATTTTACTACTGTATTTTATTTGTTACACTGCTTTTTAGTGTTTTAATGACTGGTTTTAATGTTTCTTAATTGTTTTTAAATCTCCCTTTTTGCCTTGTGTTTTGATGCTTTTAATGGTTTTATGTGAAGCACTTTGAATTGCCTTGTTGTTGAAATGTGCTATACAAATAAACTTGCCTTGCCTTGCCTTACGACTGAGCCGGCGGCTAGCAGCTAGCAGTGCTCACAGCAACAATGGCAACAGTGCTGACAGGGCTAAGAGTGTTTACCTGGGGGAACCAGAGAGTGGCGACGTCCCTTTGAAATGATCTTGTCCGTGGTGTCTACTTGTTGTGGATGTGGCTAGCAGGTAGCTGGTTGAGGCCAGACTGGTGGCTGCAGTGCAGAAAGTTCACACCATCATCAGCAACCAGCAGCTTATCATTCAAATGCTGATGCAGAGAGTGCATGCACAGCGCATGCATAGCAACAAGCAACACACCTTCTGCCTTAAATGCATGTAAGAGTTCGCTTTTCTGTGGTCGGCGTTGGCCTTTTATCAATCCTAATGAGACAAGCGCTTTATTTGCAGTGTTTACGCAACCTTTAAAGCAGGCTATGTCCCAGTCTCACCCGTTCAAAGATTCACATTAACAAAGACAAGACAGAGAACGCCGCACAATCAAGCAAAGGTCCGCCTGCTCTTTGATCACTTGACTACGTCCCGGAAACTTGACAAAGATGGAGCCTCTTTTTACAACCGCTCTGTGCCGCGTTGGCTCGCTCCACAGAGTAAGCTCTCATGTTCGCTAATTGCCGCCTAAAACAAAAGTAAAAGCAATTGAGAGATCAAACCCGACAGGCTGCCTGTGTTCAGAGCCCAGCGGGTACTGATTCACTGAGCCAGAGAACACTTACATAAACGGGTCAGAATCGGCAAAGAAGTGACCTGCTTCCACTGCAACGTCTGAGTGATCAGCTGTCTGTGTTGGGAAATACATCACGAATCATTGCGTCATCGCAGCCATATCAATAGGTGCCACTGCAGTGCAGGCTGTGCTGTGAGATGCAACATTCAATATGAATAAATCCGCAGTAACTCTAGTCAGCAAGGTCAGAACCACATCATCATGTTTCATTTTTTAAGAATACAAAAACAAAGGTAACATGACCTAAATTGGCTCATGAGGGATTCTTTCAATGCATCCAAACCTGGATTAGTGTGTCACCGGCAGGTCAAGCCGCGGCACGAACTCTGATGGTGTTATAACGACTGAGGCACGACATGAGACGATCAAAGGAAGGCCTGAGCAGAGCCGAGCTGCGAGACGACAGCAGAGGGGGCGAGATGTTGGCAACTATCACTGACAGATCTGTCTGAGCGAATATCACTCACGCAGCGCTTCACATTACCAGCAGGGATTTGTGACATTTAATGCTTTTGAGGAATTAAATCACTTTGTTTTTCGCTCTGACTGTCAATTCTCAGATTTAGCCCTCGTTTGATCTTTAAAAGACAAACAGAATCGCAATGTCGTTCTGAAGATACTTCCAGAATCCTCAACAACTGTTCTAACCATGCTAAGGATTTTGTTTTTAACCCATTTCCTAAGCTGCAGCTCTGCAGGTAGCCGACGACTTGACATGTCCATTGTAAAATCTTAAATAAAAAATTTTATTTACCAATATTACCCAAAACATTCATGTTGTATAAATTGATACCCTGGGTTTGCTGTATTTCCTAATCCAAACAAAGATGGTCGCGGGAAATAATGTCCTTGAACAATTTGTACAGCAGTGAACCAAAATGAAACATTTCATTATCAGCTATCGTTAGGGCTTTTCACGCTGCACTAGCCTTAGGCCAAGTGAGTTGTTAGCCTGGGGCTAAGGGAGCTGTTAGCTCTAGCATTTACCCAGGGCTAGAATAAGTACAGTGTGAATCATAAAGCCCTGGGTTTAGAATAACCCTGGGTTAAAAATCTGTGTGAAAAGGGGCTAAATTATCCAGGGTCACTCAGGGCTATGGGTTGCTAGCTGGGCTAAGAATGTGTGTAGCATGAATGTAAATATGGATGTTTGCATACTTTTCATTGTTCCTTATTGTCATACAGAAGAACATCAATTTGTGAGCAATTGGACATACATGTAATTTCTTGTGAAATAGGTTAAAACATCTTTCTTATCATGTTACAGACGCGATATTTTGTTCATCCAGATGGTTGTCTGTCTATTCTAAATAGAAAAACATGTCTTCACATCTACACTGCATGTTCAGTTTTCTGTGGCAGGCCTACTGATGTTTATTTAGATGAGGCCCATGATTTTATGCATCAGCAAGACGACAAATAACAAACATCACATCCTTGAATTCCTCATGGAGACTCTGGCTCTGTTTATTGTCTCTCTTGCCCACGGATGCGCAGCTTCTCTGAGACCAGGAGAGGTGCCCACTCGTCCAACTGTCAGCAACCTGCTCGACATGCTGTCTTGGAAATTGATGTTGCGTAACCGCATTTAAGGCAGGATCAGGTGTATCACTATTGTGTTGCTACAGCAGTCAATTGAGTTAGAAAGGAAGGAGGGAGCTTGTACACAGTGAAAAATAAATCCTCTCTAATGAGATGGAATAAGCTGCATAGGATTCATCTGAGTCATTAAAGTGAGTTGTGAAGAAACATGTTCAGACCTGCGACATATGTGCCTTATTTCCACTGTAACAGGTTTTCAAAACACAACCGACTGCGATAGAGAGTCCCGGTTTGGTAAAAGAGCATGAATGCTATTTTAAAGGCAACTTCTGCTCCCCGGTGAATCATGTATGTTATGTATATAATAGTCTGTTTCCTACCAGGGAGCTTCTAAGTCAGCGGTGACAACAGCAATAAACTGTGCGTAAGCGTTCAGTTCAGAGGAAATGTGTCAATGGTAAATAGGTGTGACTTGACGAAGAGTTCGGGGGATTCTGCGAGGATTCCTGGGTTTCCCTCTATCTGTCGTACACACTTGGCTGAGGGCAACGATAAGAGATATGGGAGGGCTTGGTCAGGAAAACTGTTCTAGAAATTCATGCAAATTGGGCTTTTTTTTCCTGAGAATGCGCATGGGAGATTATGATAGCGTGAAGCACTTTGTGCTGAGCACAATACAATTACAGTGACCTTAGCATTCCTGATCTATCAGCCACATTCCTGTGGGGACTTGCTCAATTATGACTTCAAAATGGACCTTTCATGTATTTTATGCCATTTTAACACTCGCTATGTATACCTTCTAGCATTGCTAATGGCACCTCTAATGTGTTGCTTAATGGTTCATTTACGGTGATCTTATGATGCCACTAAAATATTTCTGTAATACTCCTGTGACTTGGTCTCTAAAGTGGTTCCGTGGTGCTCAGCACTATTTTTACATTAAACTTGAGGTACTTTATGGCAGGTATGAGGTAAATATTAGGTATATATTATATTTCAGTTTCCATTAGGCACGGGTGTTAGTATCACTTCTTCTACATTTTATTTGTTTAAGTTGTTGTCTGTATTTTTACTCTTGTATTTTGTTGTTGTATTTTACTTTTTCTATTTTACTTGAATTCTTTGTACCTTTATTTACCTTATTGCTATTGTATATTATTTTGCCATGGTGTCAGTATTATTTATTTTACACTTAATCATTTTTATTCTATTGTTCATACATTATGCTATTCTTCTGTTGTGATCTTTAATAAAACTCTGGCTCAAGAATTTCCTTCGGAATTAATAAAATATATCTTATCTTATCTTTTTTCTGTGATATGGCTCTCTATTAGATGAGCCTATTAAATATGGCTCTATTAAATAGCATCTAACAAGTTCAAGTGTATATGTAGAGCCTTACTTTGTAAGTGTTTCCAGCGTTTCCCAACCACGTAAATGCAGGATATTCCGAGCATTAAAGATAATGACGTTACAGCAGCACCTTTGCCCACCGGCACTTGAGGCAGTGAACTCCGCCCACTCGGTAGCTATTTAAACCCTCAATGTCACCAGGCGCTCAGCTTCACACTGGAGAACTTGATCTTGACCAGCACGTTTGGATTCATAGAGGGGAAAATTAAAGTCACATTCTGAGTAGCAACTACCAAGAAGGTAAGGCTTCTCTTTACTTTTTGTTATGAGTAGGTTTATTCATAAAAAAATTAGTTTGCAAAAGTATCTGCATAATGGGTTGAGTTTTTTCATTTTTGGACATTTTCAGGAGAACTTAAAGTCTTCATCTGGTGTATATCTTTTTTTTTCTTTTTCTGATGTTGTGAAAAAAGAAGCAGAGGTTGTGATGAGGAATCCAATGAGGGGTGTTTTTTAGTGCAGATAGTATAAGTGAAGGTTCTAAATGATGCAATGGGGGTGATTTCATGAGGCGCACTTTCACCGGCTCTCTGTTCTGTTACTCTTGTGTGTGAGCTGCAGGTTCATTGGCCATTTATTACGTCTGCTTTCCTCCAAAGGTTTCATCTACATTACCCACGGCCAAACTTGGATATTTAAACCTCATATCAACCATTTTTGGAACTTTTTTCTTTTTTGCCTAATTATTTGATCCCCCTTTTTATTTTATCCCCCCCACACCTTTGGGATTCAACCCTCGCCCGGTCCGTGCGGTCGTCTCCTCCTTCCCAGAGAGGGTGTAGAGTTAACGTTGGCCCGGAGATGCAGTCCCTTCTCCCGCTTGCTGTGTATTGCATCAGCCTGGTTTCCCTCCAGCAGCCGCTGGTTCAGGCGGCAAAGGAGGAACCCGACAGCTACAGGTAAGACACCCGGTATTTTTGGGGGGTTACTACTGTATTCACCATAAAAACCCGCTCCGCGCTTCTGATTGGCTGAATAGGACTGTTTAACATACGCGATAAACGCACCTGGAGCCGCATCACAGTTCATTTGAGTATTCTTGCGCCACTTGGCATTAATAGACACTTTCTTGCCAATTTGACCTGTATGGTTTGGGGTGAAAGCCCAGTATTGTACCATTACTACATGTAAATTAGCTACAATGGCGTTATTAGCTTTTAATGATGTGTTGGGCATCATTTTGTTGTATGGCAGTAGCCTTTAATCTGTAAATACGTCAGTTAGCTATAAAACTGTCACTATTTTAAGCTAACGTATCCTTTTTCATCAGGCCAACGTTAATTCCCGTAGTTTTTCCACTGGACCATGGTATTGTTTGAATACGCAGACATTAGAACTGAACACAAGACGTGGCGTTGTCATTCCTCAAACTCTCACTTTTTCCTCTAACATGTCGTTTTAGGTAATTTTTTTTGTTCACTTCATCCAGTCAATTAATGCTAATAAATCACACTGTGTGTTCAAAGTGAAAGTGCTGCGTTGTTGTGTCGGACAGATAGAGGATAGTGTGGAGTGCAAGGGCAAAGGCTCTCTCATGATATAATAAAACACGTTCAGTCTCCTTGAGAAAAGCCCCGCTGGGGAGCAGGCTGTGGAATAAGTGACAGTGTTAGGCATAAGTATTTAAAACATTAAGAAAAAACAGAATTACATATATACGGTATATGATTGTGTTTAGTCTTATGGTAGGCCTGGCCATCACTCTTCCTATTAGTAAAGTACAAAGTAGACTAAAGTGTGAAATAACTGCAGGTTAGAACTTGAGATGAAATTGGGCTTTAATCTTACATCTGACTGGGACGGTGAATATGCCACGTCAGTAATCTGTATTCTATGTCTTTTTTCTCAACATTTTCAATGATTCTCTCTTCTCTTCCTCCTCCACCTCTCGATCTCAATGAGTAACTGTTTATAGAGGTTTGGTTTGGTTTAATCTCCCCCGTGATTCTGTGAGGAAAACTGTTACTTCTGAGGTGGGAAAAGTAGGTCGTCCCGCAGCCCAGGCCAGAAATACCAGCATGGACTTTTGTAAAAGGATCTTGTTCGGTGCTGAGTGGCACCTGTACTTTTCCACGTCTTAAGTGGCAGCCCAACACACACACAGTACACTCTGCCTCTCTGAGGGCGTGATGGAGGCCTGCCAGCGATGCAATACGCCTGTGCAGTTGCATTGTTGAGGAGCAGCCAGGAATGGGGATGAGTTGGTGTGTGAATGCCCCCTTCTGGTGGATTTTGGATCCACATCTGCTGGCTTAAAACCAGCACTGAGAGGGGTGTGATGAGGGGGGGGGACAAAGGCAAGCTTGGGGCCCCTGTAGGCCTAACTTGACCATTTTCTGAAATCCGTCTTGTCTATGCAGCACCTTCAAGTTGTGTGTGAGCAAAGTAAATGTTTACTGATAAAGACATTGGTCTCATTGATCTACAGCTGAAACATGCGTGGAGCATTATCAGTAGCTTGATAACACATTAATAAAGGCATATGTTTAATATAACGTGGCAGGAGGAGAGGTTTGTCAGTAAGAAAATGTATTCCAAATTGATATTAATCTTGTAATAATCTTAATCTTATGAATCGTATTTCTTCTCTCTTAAGTGCTATGCTTATCTTCTGTGGATCCCTCACTCACACCATGATTTGCAATCATTACGTGTTCTACATCAAAATGATCCACATTCAGTGAATAACAAGCAAGGCTCTTAAATAAAGCACTTAACATCTAATACTGATAAGATAACTATGTAGCTGTCTATGTAGATCTGGGAGTGTCATTTTCCTCTTGCATGTGTGTGTGTGTGTGTGTGTGTGTGTGTGTGTGTGTTCAATTTGTGAACACCTGCTGCTAATCAAAATAAAGGCAAGCGTGGCTCCTGTATCCGCTCTCTGTTCGTGTTGCGCTACACCTGCCCAGCACCCTGATCCCCCATCATTCCCTCCCCTGTTTGAAACTGTCATCATCAGCATGGATCATTGCCGCGGTTTCATATCTCTCAGTCCGAGAGGAACTGATGCAGCAGTTGAGTGGGATTCATATGTAAAAAATGGATTAGTCGTTTAATTGGCAAATGGCAAATACTTCTAGTATTATATTATAATACTAGACTTCTTATAGATTGATAAATTACAAATAAATCCTATTACAGAAACCCCATCACTTCAAATCACGTCCCTGAAGCTGATTGCTGTGTTGTTGGGCACGTACACTAACTGAGGGCCTGTGGTTGGGTAGTGCAATTTTTATAGGACCTTTAGCACTATAACTGATCACAGTCTATACCAAGATATATCACTCTGACAACACAGTGAGAGATCTCCCTCCCCCGTCACTTCTGCTTCACAAGCCTCCCCTTTTTTCTCACTTTGCACATCTCCCATAAATGTCCTGTCTGGCTTTTATTAGGACAGTAAATTCTCCCTCTTCTCTTGACCACAGAGCACACCCTGTTCTGTTACCATCACATGCTGACAGCATGATTACAACAGACATGATGACGACTGCTTTTCTTTTCTCCTGTTGGACACTGATACTATGTCTGAGCTCAGATGTCTGTCATTCCTTTCCTAATTCCATCTTTGTGTATGCATTGTCCCTATGTGTCCTGATAAGGACACAACAAAGTCCCAGTGAGACGCTGTAACAATGCCTGATGGGCATTTTTTTCCAAACAAGGACAAATTGCATGTTCCTTGGGATGACAGTCATTGCATGCCCTTCATTGTCGTTATACATAACGTCTAGAGTTTTTTTTCTTGTAAGGGAAAATAGCCGGTGTCTGCAGCCAAACAAGTTAAATATGGCTTTAGCAGCGAAGCGGCTTTACAGTGCAGATTCCAGAAGTGGGAAGCGGATCATTGCTCCGAGACGAAGGACATGTAAAGCTGATTTGCGGTGAAGCTTTTGTTACATAGACCTAGTCTGCTTCTGCTCCGTCTGGACCAGGGAACACTATGATAAATTGGTCTGTGTGTATGTGTCGTGGCCGCAGGTTTGTTCGAACTTTGTCAAGGCCAAATAAAGACATGTTTTCCCCCACAAAGGATTTGCTAAATAATTAACTCATTCTTGTAAATGTGGATTTAAGAGGCGTGGGGTCCTACGTAGATACTCTCAACGTAATATTTACCTGAGAAACAGACTGATTTCATCTCCCACATCTCCTTCCTGCCTTGTTGATGTTTGTTGAATCGCTCTGCACATGCAGTTGGCTTGGGGTATGCGCTTTGATTTGCTATCTATATTCTGACATGTTTACACCTTATCAAGAAACAACAAGAACATTACTCACTCTTTTTTATCGTGTATACATTCTCAGAAAACCATTTTCTTGCTCGCAGAATGATTGAAACCAGGATTGCCTCTGCTCTAAATCAGGTCAAGAGAGGCCTCTTCTCCTATGTCTTGTAAACAGGAATTTTGGCTTGGACAACTTAGATATACAGTATGTACAGTATAAACATCGTATGGCTCCATGGGGGTCAATTTAACCAAATACAGGCTGAAGTTGCGGAGGGTGAAAGCTGCGACCAAGCAGGCACAGAATTCCACTGTGGACTAATAGCTAAGACCTAAATTCCACCCTCCGCATCCTTAAAGAGCAGGTTTCCGCTCCACACAGAAAGCCACACCGCTGTGGAGGCATGAATGCATATGTGAACTACACAGCATATAGTATAAGAGTACAAGCTTATAGTGGGAGTGTGGATCAAAAGGCTTAAGAAACAAAGGCGGCTTCTGAGAGGAGAGGAAGGATGTATAGTTTTTACCTTGGCATCTTGCATCCATGCAATTTGCTGACTGTATGATCAATATGCAGTTTTGCTTGCATAAAGTAGTAAATCCCATACCACTCAGGAGGTTATGAAAGCAAGTTCTCACCAACAAGTAGAAACACTGTTTTGTGTGAAATAAATCACCTCTCCTTTCCATTTTTGTCCTGCTTCTTGCAAATAACAATCTCCCCAATGTTACCTATTGGGATATTAGCAATGAATGTGCTAAGTTTCTTGCTGATTAAGACCGCACTTTGGGAGCTTCAGCCTCTAAGCTGCATGGTACTAGAGTTGGGGTTGAGGAGGGCTTTTTCTTTGCAGGCTTTTTGTTAGGGTTGGATTTATGATTAAGGAGCCAGTTTCCCTTAGCAAAAGTCCTTGGATGGTGAAATGGCTCCCTCCACACGTTTCCAGTGTTGGAATTGGGGTGGGGGGCTGTTTCCGACTAGTCCCATAACTTCCTAAAACCGTTAATCTGATGTTCATGCTTCACACAGTGGTTGGCCAGCCTGCCTTCAAGTGTGGCTGTTCGGAACACTTTTGACACTTCCAACATACGTAAGACAACACTTCGTACACAACAAAAAAAATGTTTTCTAGCAGAACCCTGCCCTTAGGGGTAGGGAGGGCTTACCTTCTGTCAGGGTAGGGTTGGGGTCAGTGGTAGGAAGGGCTTACTCTCTGCAGGGAGGGCTCGGCAGCTGAGGCTTTCTATCAACATGAGTCAGCGATGCTGTGAGGTTAATACAAAAGAAAAACCAAACAAGGCAGCACAAAGGGATTTGGCTGAAGCAATAAGCTACAGTCAGAAGGAATTTTAGTTTTAAGACCTTAAACTAAGACCATGCAAGGTGTTGGTGGAACAATTAAAGTCAAAGTAGCTTGGATATCTTTGATCGCCTGCCAATCACGGAGATCTCTATTAGTATGGAGTTATGGGACTAGGCTCCTAATAGCCAAATTGGCCTGTCTTGTGAGATCAAATGTGACAGAGTGAAAGAGTTATCTAAGATTCCTTGAATTTCTGGAAGAAAAAGCAGGGCAGTCCACAGTCTTTTTGAGGGAGATGTAACTGTAGCTTAGCCTTGCCCTTCATTACACATACTACACAGCTATTAACATAAAATATCATTTAAGTTTGCTTGTAGAGAACTACTTACAAGTATTTATGTGATAAATATTTGAATTAAACTGAAATCCATTAGACTTCAAGTGAAATGAGCAAGAAAACTGTTGCATTGCAAGACCTCCAGAGACCAATCACTTAAGAAAGAGAAACACATTTAACCTAAAGAGCAAAACTGATCTGCCTCCTATATCCTTATTCTTCCAGGAAGTATTCTCCGCTGTAATTGTTGTAGCACAGTCATGGGGTCCCTGTGGCCGTCTGCCAGCCATTGCAGATGTACTTATGAGCCAACTTGTTTTTGGCGAATTGGAGTTGATTAAGTCACAGACTTGCAAAGTCCAATCTTGTGTGAGGGTTCCAGGGTTTGTGTTAGATTGTTTGAGTTGTTAGGGAGACCGAGCATCATCTCATAGTTGAGTCATTGAGTTTAAGATGTTCAGATAATAATAATAATAATAATAATAATAAAATTTATTTATAGAGCGCTTTTCACAGACAATCACAAAGTGCTTAACAGGGCAGAAATTTAAAAGCATAAAAAACACAATGTGACCCTAGGGTCAATAAGTTACATACACAGAGAAAAAATTAAAATTAAAATTAAAACATATTTTAAGAGCAGGTCTAGGACATGGGTTTTTACTCAAACGACAGCCTAAAAAGGTGGGTTTTGAGCTGTTTTTTGAAAGTATTCACAGAATCTGCGAGGCGTAGAGTAGCAGGCAGAGCATTCCAGAGCCTCGGCGCCACTGCCTCAAAGGCTCGGTCACCACGGGTCTTAAATCGTGTGCGTGGAACAGACAGACGACATGTCAATTAGCTAAGTGCACCACATTTACCGGGTACTCTACAGGTCAATGCATTGGTGTCATGGATAACAAAGGGACAGCTTTTCTCACTTTACAATCTCTCTACCATAGACTGTATAGAAGAAGTGGACGTAGTCACCGTGACATCACCAAATGCTTTGTAGACTGCCATTTTAAAGCCTCGAGTTTATCAGTTTGGCCATTGGCATTTAGGTTTTTGGCTGTCGCCATCTTGTATTTTTGCAACAAGAGGTGACATGAGTGACCAAAATCTAAGAATTTGCTTGCAACCAGAGGAGTCGCCCGCTGATGGCCATTAGAAAGAATGCAACTTTCCCCATTGACTTCACTTTTCAGACCAGAAGGTTGCTGCCTGTTTTCTACAGGGTTTTCAACTTATACCCTCCGCGAACAAACTGGATTACCAACAGGGCAAAGTGAGCAACTGCCACGTAGTTCAGAACCTCTGGGGCCCAAGGGCTCCAGGTTTGTTGTGTGGTCATATATTTCATTCCAAATACTGTTGTTAATATTGTATGCACCACTAAAGCACCATATAACTGAAAAGAAAGGGGCCGCTACCTATAAAGAGACAAATACAGGGGCCCTCAGGTAACTTTTAAGACCGGGGCCTCTTATAAAGTGATATGAAGGGATAAAGTGTTGCTAACTCTAACTTTTGACTTACAGGATCTACAATACATAAAAGAAGATTAGGCTACAGTTCTGTCTTGTATTAAGTAAAGTCAGAATATGAATTTGGTGCAGGGCCAACACGGCTGTTTGTGAATAGCTTTCATGTGCAGTCAAATGCAACATTCCCTCTGCAGGCCAGGTGGGTGTAACTTGGTGATGTGGCACCATGGCACACCAAGCCTCTTCTGGAAATAGTGTTAGCCTCCGTCTGTGGCCTAGCATTGCGCAACTATTTATTCAGCCACTGCCGCTGTTGCACAGCAGGTCACCTCCAGACTACCAGACCTGCCAACAGTGAGCCAGCAGCTGAACTTTCTAAATAAATCAGAGGCTTCACATATCCTCAAGGAATCCCAAACCCACCACACCACTGACTTTAAGAAAACCCTTCTGCTATGATGTCTCACACCTAAACCTCTCACCATGAAATAACACAAGTCAGCATTTCACAAGTGGAACACATTTTTCATATTTAGATCAACCCTGGCTTCTACCTCTCTGAAAATGGAAAAAATAGCAACAAACCTGACGCAGTGGAAGATTTTTCCCTTTGACTCAGAAAAGCAAACAGCAGATATATTTGCTCTGATGCTGTATTTGAACCTCATTACAATCCATTGCTACCATTTAACATTTTCATCCTTATTCATCCACTGCTATAGCAGCATTTTCCTATTTACTTCGCCTGACTTTCAGCAGTGGTGATGGGGTAACACTCAGGGGCTTGAGTCACGCTGTGCTGTGCAAACACAGCGGTGACAGTTCAGTGAAGAGCACCAGGGTCAAGTTGTGAGAAGAGGCTGTCTTTGTCAAACATTGAACAGATGGCGAGTTGGTGGGCGCTGTGTTTGCTGAACGGCCCATACTCGCGGGTCCACCGTGCTGCAGAACCTAGTTTTTGTCAAGGGTCTGTTTACACAAGCTACATAAAAACAACACATTCTTTTCCATTTAGCTCCAGATAAGTGATAGTTGGGGTTTTATTCGGCCAGGTTTTAGGTGTTTTGAGAACTCTTTGAAATTTCTGTCTGTACACCAACATTTGAACAATTCACAAGCACCTTATCTTTCTTTCTGGGAACAAGATTTTAATGTTCTCCTCTGGAGCCCATCAGGAAATCATGGCAGGCCAGGCTAAATCTCCCATAGTTACCATTCCCTGAAACCCAGCTGAGCATTAAAGTACGAGATTTTGATTGTATAATGTAATAAGCGAGGCAGACTTAGAGCACCTGTTGTTTTTGGCAACATGTGAAAACAAAGCCATTAACTTTCACATTATACATTAAGAGATGAGCATGGTGTCCACGTGGATGGGTGACTGTGCAGAGAGACATGCTGTGTTCAGAGAGCAGGCAAAAATGATTTCTTTATCAAAGTCGCTTTATACGGCTAATCGGATTTCTGGAGAATTACCTGTGCCCTTACAACAATAGTTGTTAGTTAGTAACAATGCTGGCAAGTGCATTTGTTTAAAAACCCACCATCATTCTATCCCCGTTCTATCCATAGCGGCAAAAATAATGAACCACCTTAGCTATGAATGTTCAACATTTGAGCTCAAAGCAATGATGTGCCTAAGTACACAGCTGCAAGCATGGCTGTAGACATGAGGAATTAACCCTTTCGCCTCTCAAACGCAGACTGGCCGATAGTAGCGTAGCATCAGCCAGCTGTGACCAGGGTCCGACAACGATCTGAACTCTGCTCCATAGACTCTCATGCAATGGTTTCAGCTTCTCTTCATGTTCAGGCTGGTTTAGTGGATTGGAAGCTGGTCATCGTTAAACGTTGTGTAACCGTGATGCTCGTTACCCGGAGAGGTTGGAAGGAGATATACATTTCTAAAACGTCACGTTTCTATGTAAAAACCTGTGGAGCTAACATCGGCAGAACTAGCGTTAGCACTTTGTTACTACACTAGCTACTGCAGGTATACTAAATGTATACACAATGCTGCTTTTGCTTTTTAATGACTTTAACAGTGACTAAAGACCTACCCGGCTCTACGGGAACAGTGATGTTCCTTCATTTCATTGCCTTCTGTCTTGATCACCAGGTGATGTGGTGGTTCACTTTGATCTATAGGCTTTAGCTTCTATTTTTATCTTTTTTCATCGTTTATTCTGAAATTAGATACGATTTTTTCAAGGAGTACAGTTAGTGACAGTGTGGGCTCCATGGTAGCTCTGACAGCTTGGCTTGGCTTAGCAAAAGATCAATTGAGCCCCCCTCCTCCCGCATATTGAAACTTGTTAGAATATGAATAATATCCACCCAGCTCCAGGACAAATTTTCACCTAATTTCTGTCTTCTCCTCAGGCTGGACCTCCTCAACAAGCTCATAGACCAGAGAGAGGATAAAAGCTCAGTGTCAGGAAGCCAGACTGACATCGTCGTCCCCTCCTCAGCCCCTAGCCGATCCCCAAAATTGCTTCCCGGTTTCCTGAGACACCAACCAGCTTCAGGAATGAGAGCAGCCTCGCCAGGCCTGGCGTGGGCACGTCCCGTTGGTACCTCACAGATCGAGCTGAGGGCGCCAAGAGCTCGTCGCCATGCCCACTCTGGATCACGTAATGGTCACCACTATCCCCAACATGCCCAACTGATGAGAGTGGGTTGCGTCCTTGGAACCTGCCAAGTGCAGAACCTCAGCCATAGGCTCTATCAACTCATTGGCCAGAGCGGCAGAGAAGACTCGTCCCCCATCAACCCCAGGAGCCCCCATAGTTATGGATGAGTTAGTTGATACCCCCAAACACGAGTCTATCTATATCTCCATTTATTTATCTTTTAATGTATTACTGGTATTCTTTGCATTAGAGTTTGATGTAGTCCATAACTTCTGTTTATCTATCTCAAAATGACAATTATACTTCCCATAAAAGACTGTCATGGCTCTCTACTTTTTCTGCTGATTGATGGATTTGAAGATTCAAATTCAAGATCATGACCGACTGAATCACTTTTAAAACCCCCAATTTGAGTTCTCCAACCATCCTGAGAACTTTTGCCTTTTTAAGGACGTTCAAATCTCATCAAAGTATTTTTGGTTCTCCCTTCTGAACGCTCAAAAGAAGGTCTCACTTTGACGTCCTAATCCTGTTAATATTAGAATGAAGGCTTGGCCTCAACACCATCCAGTGACCTGGTCCTGTCTGCCAACTGACCTCTCTGGCGGTGGTTATTCCGCAGCTCATTGATCAAACACTTAAGCCCCTAATGTGGATTTCAACCTGCACTCAGAGCCGGGGCCCTGTCAAAACCAATGTATTCCCAGAGACCCCGTAAATGACCCAACAAACCCTTTTACCTCTCTTTTTTGTGCCCTCTCTTTTTGTCAACATTGCAATTCCCAGGTCTTTTCACAACTGGATATAGAATTACAATATGAACACTGACAACCCTAGAATATTCCACGAGCGTTGAGTTGAACGGGGAATTCGTCACTCAGCAGGAGCTTTGTGTTTCAGGACCAGAGTTTACAGTCGAAACCAGCCACAGCACTTGGGTTACACCCGAGTTGAAGAGCATTCTGAGTCAGGACTTGACCACATAAACTCCACAATGAACATGAGAAAAAAGAGGTTGAGCATCCAGTGCCTTGGACAGAATCAACACAGAAACTCTCGTCCCAAAGGATCAGTTTCAGTGTTGCATTATAGTAGCCAGTTGGTCAGCACAGTAGGGGGTAAAGTGAGCCTTGGAGCCACCACTGCTGGCATTTTCCCCGCCGGAGGCAGGGTCTGAAATATTAGCTTTTTCACGTGATTCATAAGTTCCCCTTGCAAGTCAGGACTTTGGGTTGACAGTTTAATAAAACTGACCTAATCACTTCAGGCATATATACAGCCACAACAGGGGGGGGGCTCAGTTTCCCATGGTCTGCAAACTTAATGCTAATACATAACTATAAAGAGCAAGTCATGTGAAGTTCACATCGCCTTGAAGTTCGCATATATTGAAGGTCAGCTTCTCCAAAAGAATATAAAATCCCTGTACTTTGCAGCATATTTTGGGTGATTTTCCAGAGTAACATGGATTCTTATTCTGCAAAGAAATGTTGCTGCTGAGCTCTTTTGAATGCCATTTTTTAGTGCTGTGACAAAATCCCATTCCCCTCCATTTGTATTGGGGAGAAGGTAGAGATCTCTAAAAGTGAGTCCAACAGTGATGTTGCAGAAAGGTGGAGAAATACAGGTCAACTCTTCCTACATTTCCTACAGGCAATACTTGACAAGACAGGGCACCCTTGTTGTTCACATGTAGTATGTTAAAGGGTTAAAACTAACCCCTGAGACGACTGTTACATTGCGGGTTTCTTATGGGACACCACAGCGACCAAAATGTTCAGTGTGCCCAATTTCAAAAATACATGCCCTGACATTTTCCTCCTCTCTATGTACGCTCCGGCTCTGAAATGGTGGGTGGGCGATGGACTGAGAAAAACTGAGGTCAAGCGCTACTCATTAAGCGTGCTTAAATTTGACAGGCCTTAAAGAAATGCAACCATATGTATAAAAGGCACATTTTTTGGCGAGAAATGTAATTATATGACATATTTCCATGCTTTTGAAAAGCTTTTATTCCAAGACTGTACTATATGGCAGCTTGGTCCTAACCTGCAGAGTGATTGGTAGTAGGAATACAGTCATTTAGATGATCACATAGTATTTTACCCTTTGTTATATAATTTCACAAACATGAAAATTGTCTATTCCTTAAGAGCATTAGTTTAAACTCACCAAATACCTGGCAATACTTGACAAACCGAACGACTTTACATGTGACCTACATCATATAATAATGTGTCCTTTTATATCTTAATCTGTGTCTTCTGATTGTACTTGGGTGTCTTTCTTTTTACATTTAGTTGTCTTCTCTCCTCCGTCTGTAATCGTGGAGGTCACAGGGTAATAATCTGTGGTTCCTTGGTCTTAAATCTAATCTGTTCAAAGGCTTGCTGAGGTCAAACATGCCATTCTCTCTGCTGTAACCGAGCTAATCAATGTCTCGTGACGGATCATTAAAAGGCTTTTCAAACGCTGAAAAATCCTGGTGGACCTCTCTGCTTTTTAATAGTGTTCTATTTCACACACACACGTGACGTGTGCGTGCGTATGTGTTGAGCTGCTTGTACGTAGCCTATCAGGACACTTATCTCCTGTGTTTGAACTGTGCTCTGGACCATTTTGCTCCCAGTCTTGTTTTTTTGTCTTTTTTTACATAGTATGTCTCTGTGACGTCAGGCATTGCGTCACGTCCAGTTGTGGTGAGCAAACTGTGCACGACCGCGAATACCTCCCCGTAAAAACACCTCTTTTGTTTCATGGCTCTGTGTTGCAAAGAGGAATGAGTGTAGAATGTCTTTGTTAGTTTTGTAAGATAGTGTCGATCCAGGTCGATCTCGGTAGCTTTCTCTCTGCTGATTTCCTCCTTTAGGGTCACAGGAAAGCACTTTTAATGCAAACGCATGTGTCGATAGTTTCCCTGAAAGTCCCCCATTGTGATGAACTTGTGAAAGTTGGACACGGTTCCTCTTGTAAATGTTGCATTCGAGATTGTCTGCGAATGTGTGTCGAAGATGTCAGTGCACTCCGTGTGGCGTCATGATGATTGTGAACGTCGCGTGCGCCTGTGAATGAACATAAATATATATATATATATATATATATATATTCAGCCAAACTATTTAAAGAAAGTAATGTATTTAAGTTATCTTTGTATGTTAATATCTGTATGTCACCAAAGACTATTTATCTCACTTAAACGTGACCGTATGGTAGGAAATGAAACTGTAGTTGAAATGTTACTGTTTGTCAATGTCCTTCACTCTGTAAAATAAAGAACTCTACTAACTACTGTAATGTGATGGAGTATGATTCCTAAAAGACATACATAATATAATCACATGAGGCTGTGAAATACTCTTAAATGCACCAAAAGGTTCTAAATGCTCACAAAAATATATGTGATTCAGTATATATTTTAAAAGACTCTCTAATCGATTCCACCCTCCTCCCCGCTACTGTGTCCTTGACCAACCTGTTCTGAGACAATAACCCCAAAGAAGTCAATCATTACAAGTCACTGCATGACACATCTAACAAATGTAATGGGGGGCAAGGGGGACAATGTGAATGAAATATTGGGAAATGCATGATCGGGGCATCAGCAGCCACGTTGGCGGTAAAGGTCGTGTGACTGGACGAGGTTAATGAGTGATGGGAGGTTTGGTCGACAGCAGACAGGCCATTGGTTCATGTCACATGAGGTAAAGGACAAGAGAGGGAGGACAAGGGAACAGGAAATATTCAAAAGTTGATGTATCTCATTTATTTTCTTTATCATTAATATTTATACAAGTTTTGTCATTTAACATACAACCCATGTGTACCATCCATACACAGAATGAAACCGGTACAATGCCATTTTCACTCAAATTCAACCTGATGTACAGTGTTTTGGATATCTTGCCTGTAATTTGACATGAAATCCCATGGGTTTCACTTTGTACTGTGAGGTATGCCTTGTAAAAAAGAAAAAGGGCCAAAGGTTTAGCAGGAGGAAGTTAATACATGGAGAAGGAAGTTGTCATTTTTGTGATCCAGTAATACTAAGCTGTCTGTGTTGGTGGACAGTGTTGAGAAAGTTTTTAATTACTCGTGTTTTACGCTTTACTATTAGTGATTAACAAAGATATTGCATTACTTTATATAACTACAGCAAAAGTAATTAGTGACATGAGTCGTTACTTTACTTAGGTGACACAGCACAGCTCTGTCAAAGTTGCCTTTGAACAAGTCAAAGCCTCTACAACATGTCATATACTCTGTGTGGAAAAAGAAAATAAGACGTTGCGGTTTAACAAGCAGCCAACCTACATTTTGAAAGGTGCAAGGTTAACATCCATCCTCACACATCCATCCTCACACAGCATTAGCAGCTAAAGAGCCATATATCTATTTACATTTTATGGAAGTGCAATTCTAAAAAACTGGAGTATCCCCAACTGAGAGGAGATGGAAGTTATATCTGAAGGGCACCCTCAAGATAGATTTTAAGGTCCTTCTCTAGTTTTATAAAACTACTAATACCCATTCCTTCCCTGTCTGTATAAGCCGTCAACGTCTTTCTGTTATCGCTTTACTCTTTGGTTTTTATCACTGTGTAAATAACGAATACTAAAAGTCAACCAGAAGGAATCATGTCATACCGTCCCGCCTGCGGCTGATGTATGTCAGCCAGCAGAAACTGTGTCACGCAGGCTTTAGGCTTTTGATTGACTCTCTTGGAGTCACATTTAATGAGAGACTAAAGTATTCATGTCAATTTCTAGGCCAGAAAAACAGCTAACATACTCCAAGTGGTAAGAAAAAAAAAGCTGATAAATCATCTTGAGAGTCAAGAGCACAGTTACCATGCTAACCAATAACTGAATAGTTAGTGATTTCTAGCCCACTGAAAACTCACAGATCGGGTTCATGTTGATCATAAAAACAAAGAGAAATACCCAACAACATTTCACACATGACGGATCTGCACAAACCTTTGGAGCAGCACAATGTTCCACAGCATCCAGAGCAATGCAATCCTGCAGTGTAACTCAGAGATCCCACACTAACAAAAGTGGACGAAGAGACACACAGAGAGGGAAAGTAAGGACGAGCTCGGCGGCTACACCTCGCTAGTGCAAGTTGGGAGCTCTTTATCTTTCTGAAAAGCTCCACGACATTTTCCAGTTGATGGACGCTGCACACAAAATCCATCCAGGTCATTGTCTGCTCTTGTCCAAATGAAGGGATGTGCACTGTTCTAATTCTTACTTCATAGTGTACACATAGGCTGCTGTATTTATATAAATATCAGTTTTGCTGTATACAAGAAGTGAATGTGAATTAGCATTTCAGTAAAATAAAAATACAGTAGATGAAGGGCATGTTCATTATCAATTAATCTGCAGATTAATATTTGTATTATTCTCCAGAGATTGACTCATCGTTTGATCTATAAAACAGTGAAAAAAATGCCCATCACAATATCCAAGAACACAAGGTGACGTCAATATATGTCTTGTCTTGTACATCTAAAAAGCAAGCAACACTGTCTGCAGTTCACTTTTGCTGGTGGCGCTGCATTACAACTAAACTCTTCTTCACTTCCTTGGAGCCAACGAGCAATACGTGGTTCTTGACAACGCTGCAAGCAGCACTTCCGGGGTCCAAGCTATCGGCCTGCTCCGAAAGGCCACGCGTTCTGAACGGCCACATGCTCCGCATGGGTAAGCCTTCCAACAACACCGCAAGCAGCAATACCGAGCAGTCAGCTGAATTAGGGCTGGAAATGAGGGTTTGTTGAGTGGAATTTGTGGGCCATACAGCAAAAAACAATTAGCAACAAAAAGAATCACCTAAAGAGCCTCTGAGTTGGGTGATAATTCTCAGCGGCTCCATAATGGTGCTTGGAGGACTCGGAGGAAACCAGATGATGTCAGTCTGTTTTTATCAATTTCTTCCATTGGGTCATATGGGCCAATGGGCCTATTTATTCTGTCTTTCCTAAAAAGACTGATCAGCCATGAATAGTCGTTCTCTATTAACGGAAAGAACAACCAGGCTATACCAGATTCACACGAGAAACTTTCCAATCATGTGAGTTTGGTAAACAGACAGAAGGCAGACACCGTCCTCACCTCATGCACCTTTCCGCGGAACCCTCCGGATCCGCACTGACCCCCTTTCACTGTCATAACATTTACGACTCAGGGCCAAGCTTCATGTAACTAACACTAAATATACTGTATCTCCAACACACGGCCAGGCACATACTTTGGACTGAAACACATGGTAAGGTCAGATGCTCATGTGTAGTTGACATTGTTGGAATGCAGCTGATTGTCATATTGAGAGTGACTCACAATAAGTGAAACTAAAACATAAAAAACATACCCGGCCAATCTCGGTGCTGAAGATGAAATTGATATTGATCTTTGCTATGGCTATTCACATAGCTCTCGCAAATGTCACAGATATATTTACCTTCATCTGAAACTAAAGGTATACTCTACGTAATCGTTCACCCCCTGCTGATCTATTCAGTATGTTTCAAACACTAATAGTTTCTACACACAATAGCTAAATACATTACTCTGGGTTAGAGTTACTCGAGTAATAGGATTCATGGAACCTGTCTGACGGATAAGCCTATGGGGGCAAGTGACTATATCTCTGGGGTTAGGGGTGTAACCAGCATATCCAGTTCAGGACTTCCTTTTCCGTTGTTTGTTACAGTCTGATTAGCAACTTGAGATACAAGTCTGGAGTTAGGAGACATTACAGTCATTTATTTTATCCAAAGCAACTTACAATTCAGATTCTATCACATTGCTATACCGTAGGCACAACTACAGGATCAATTTTGGGGTTAAGTGTCCTTGCTCAAGGACACATCGACATGCTCCCCGGAGCCGGGGATCGAACCGTCCTTCAATCCTCTGATTGAAGGACGGCCCTGCTCTCCACTTAACCACAGTCACCCGTGTACAACCAGCTTGTTCCACAAGTAGCCAGTTGACAAGCTAATTTTAAACCAATAATGAAGCCAAATCATCGTCAGACGATAGCCGGTGGGTTCCAAGTTTGTATTTGGGCCAATGCGTTCCACGTCTATTGCTCTTCACATGGACTGTTTACCTGCATTCAACCAAAGCTTGCTCGAACGTGATTGTTCAATACTACTCGGACTGCAAACGGATCTTGTCCCTACAGATTCTGCATATGAATGCAGATTGCAGAATTAGCTATTTTGCCATTCATTGGCAATACGAGGATTGTTTTGGAGCATTCAGATCAACGGATACTTTTCCATGCACACTGACACCTCTTTGTCTCGACAATGAGCTGCCATTGGGATCCAGTAATTGCTACGAATCCAGGCTAACCACAGCTGCCGTCTTCTGCAAAAGGAGCGACTTTTCACAGCCAGAAGACCGACGGTGAGAGTTTGATTCTCTAGAGATAAAGTTTGAATACTGACAAAGCCATGTTGGCTTGAAGTCCTTAATGTGGGCAGAAGAAAACTCTAAAATTTGTACATCTTAAGATATATAGAAACCTGTTATCTTAAGAGATATTATAATGCGTCATGACCACATTTTTACATTTATTATGTTGCCTAAAAAAGTATGATCCAAATGGATAAGACTGTAGCTTGTACGGTTTGATACATTGTCTGTACAAAAGTATCAGTGAGCTGCCCCAGTGTAGATATACAGAACAGTGAGCACAGCGGTTATCTGTTAGCTGACAACAGTTTGGGCTGTAACACTGAGATAACCCAGAAGTAGATAATGAAGGCCTTGGTTTCAAGGCCTTTGGGTTGCTTTGCTGCTTCTCAGCTATATAAACATCAGATCCCTGTCAAACCGAAGCTCTGGCTGTTAGATTCGATAGGGCTGAGTGTTTACACCAGTGGTGGGCCATCAGGGCAAGGCCTTCTCTGCTGGCCTAAACAGAATCACAAAGTTATAGCTATTTTATAATTTAATAATTTTTCACAAATACACTACATGTATTATATATTTTTCCCCATTAGCTTATTTTCTCATTGCACAGCTCCTGTCTTCCTCTGTTGCTCTGCTTCCAGCACAGCTTGTTTTAAGGAGAGCTTTTATCCAATCAGATTCAGCCTCTATGTCTCTATGTAAGGAGAGAGGTCCGATGCCCTCTAGGTAGACTTTGCAGTTTAAGTGAATGGGGACGATATTGTTGATTGTCATAGTCTTCAACCAATCAGATCTTTAGTTTGACATGTTGGGCGTATTCTTTGATGTGCCGGTGGTACCGAGGTAG